GGCGATCCACATCGCTTCCAAGGACAATTCTCTGGCGGACCACCTGAACAGGCTCCCTACCAGGATGCACAAGTGGGCATTGAACCAGACGGTCTTTCGCGATATCTGCACACGATGGGGACAGCCCACCCTGGACCTTTTTGCGTCCCATCTCAACACCAAGTGTGCCCGATACTGTTCCAGGGCGGGCATGTACGCCACCTCCCTGGGAGACGCCTTCCTCATACCATGGTCAGGGGAACTGACGTACCTGTTCCCTTCAGTACTGCTGCTCCTCAGGACTGTGACCAGGATAATGCAGCACGGTACAGACATGATCCTCATCGCTCCTTGGTGGCCGAGGCAACCGTGGTTCACTCACCTGTCAGAAATAGCACAAGAAGTGTACCCCTTACCTCAGATACTGGCCCTCCTGTCACAGAACATTGGGGCTCTCCTCCATCCCGATGTTCGGTCACTTCGCCTGACAGCGTGGAGGATAACCCCCACTTCCATGAGGTGCTAGAACATGCACAAAAGCCTTTCCAACAGAAAACTCCTGACGATTTTCTCTCTATATCTTTTTAATTTCTATCTCTCTTAAATTGTAATGTTTTAAAATTATGTTGTTGTTGCTTGTTGTAAGCCGCCTAGAGTGGTCTAGTACGACCAGATAGGCGGGATAGAAATAAAATAAAATAAATCAATCAATAAATACTTCGCGCCTATATTGAAGGCAAATGGAAAGCCTTTACCAAGTTTGCCCAAGCTGAAGGCTTCAGCACAATACCAGCCTCTCTACGCACGGTACTTACCTTTTTGCTGCATCTCTTTAATATGGGACTTGCTCATTCCACACTTAAAGTCTACATTTCAGCGATTGTAGCGCACCAGCCTCCTCAGTCGTACTCCGCCAGGCTTTTTTCTGACCCTACACTTAAAAGATTTTTAAAAGGTCTCCAAAACATACAACCATCCTCCCAAACCATTGCACCGCAATGGTCCCTTCCGCTCGTCTTGGAGTTTAGTCGTTTAGTCGTGTCCGACTCTTCGTGACCCCATGGACCAGAGCACGCCAGGCCTTCCTGCTCGTCTTGGAGACCATTACTAAACCTCCATGGCTACCTGCTCTGAAAAACTTCTTTCCTTGAAAACAGCATTCCTAGTAGCCATTACCTCAGCCAGACGAGCGAACGAGATTGCTGCCCTAAGGTCGGACCCTCCGTACTTGCAGATGCACCCAGATAAGGTTACCTTATACATAGACATTTCCTTCCTCCCAAAAGTTGTGTCAGAATTCAATGTCAATCAGCCCATTGTGCTTCCAACCTTTTTCCTGTCTCCAACCACACCGCTGGAGCGTAAACTACACTCTCTCAACATTAGACGGGCCCTTACCTTCTATCTACACTGCACCAACTCCATCCGGCGTTCTCCGCGTCTCTTCTTACATTACCCCGGACCACGCAAAGGTGCTCCTGCTTCCTCGCAATCAGTATCAAGGTGGATTGTTCAGCTCATTCACCTGGCTTATCAGCTGGCCAAGACACCTCTTCCAGAGGGCTTAAAGGCGCATTCCACCAGAGCGGTTGCCACCTTGACAGCCCTATTCAAAGGTGTTCAACTGCAGAACATTTGCAAAGCAGCCACCTGGGCTACCCCTCTGACGTTTGCCAGACACTACCGACTGGCCGTCAGAGCCAAAAATGATGCGGTGTTTGGACGGGCGATACTGTCATCCATGATACCGTGACGGCCCTCCTGCCGGTAAGTACAGCTTGCTATTCACCCATTTGTGTGCATTCACAGAGACCACTACAAAGAAAGTTAGGTTACTTACCTGTAACTTTGGTTCTTCTAGTGGTACTCTGTGAATTCACACATCGCTCCCTTCCTCCCCTCTATCCGTCACCGTACCGTTCTATGATACCATGCTTATCTAACTTACGGTAACAGCGGATTTAGGGAACTGAAAGGAAGATGGAGGAGGCGGGACTTATATACCCCGTGGGAGGGAGCTAATGACTCTTTTTTCTTAAGCTCTAGAATCTTCCGGACGTTCCTGCGCAGGCACAGGATAACCCATTTGTGTGAATTCACAGAGTACCACTAGAAGAACCAAAGTTACAGGTAAGTAACCTAACTATTTTTCTAGTTATTTTTATGGAAAGTTCTTATTTCTGTACCCAGGGAAATTTTAAAACGCCTCTGTGGTATGACCCAAGAAGTGTCTTATCCAGCTATTGCATACTTCTCTCTATACTCTTTTTAATGGTGGATGGTTGGATTTATATGCCATCACAAGCCAGAATTAAACAGAATTCTGTCTTCTTGGTGGTGATCCAGTGTATGGTCTCCCATTGTCTAGTTATCGTTGCTTGCAACAGGAACGATTACACAATCAATAGACCTCCTGTTGTCCGTGCATGCCAGCATTCACTGCACTGTTGTGCTTCCCAAAAAGCCAGAGACAGAATTTAAGGTTTGCCCTTAGTTTGCTTTTATAGATTGTTGAAGGAGAAAAAGCCAGAGTGCAACTTGTTGCTGCATTTAGACATCATGAGAATCAAACCATGGATTGAAGTCTATGGTTTGTTTAGCTACTCCCACTGCAAGAAAGTAGGGTTCAAGTCCTCTGGTTTATCCACACTGAGCCAGAATTCCAGTGCTTCTGATAACTTGGATTCCTGTGCAATCCTGGCTCACTGTGGCATTCCGACAAGGTCCATGATTCTTCCTTCATCCCTAGTTTCCAGCCATTCCATCCATATCATTGTTCTCCCCCCACACCTTCTCAGCTTCCCAATGTTGAGTATTTACAGGGTTATTGAGGATTCTGTCCTTAAAGTCCCCTCCCTTAATAGTTTTTAGATGCACATTGTTCTACCACATCTGCCAATATGGTTCACACTTGCTCATGGGTGCTCCAGATTTGCTTACACAGCAACAGGAATATTGCACTCGTGTTTGGAAATGGAGTATAAGGTGACAAAGAGTTCTTTGGGGGTAGCACTTAAGATGTGCAATTTTTAAAAAAATATTTAAGGCATTTATTTATATATCTCTCTTCAGTAAAATTCCCAGGGCTGCTAATTTATTTAATTTGACTGTTTGTTTTATAGGCCACCAAAGGGGACCTAAGGTGGCTCACAATATTAAAAAGACTAGAATAAAAAACATAGTAAGTTAAACATTAGAAAGACTTAAACTATACGTTAATTAAAATGCAATTGAATAATTAAAAGCAAGTAGTTACTAATGTAATCAAATGTTTTGAAACACTGAGAAGGATTAGTACATGCAGAAAAGTTCAATTATTTGTTGGATCTGTAGCCCTGGTTCTATAGCCCCTTAGTTTCATAAACCACATTTTGTTTCTTGTTAGGAAACTTGGCATTGATAGGAAGAGTCATAGTGTTCAGGCAGCACAAGAACATGGTATTTGAATCAGAATCATGAGGTCCATTGAATTGTCTTTGAATAACTCAGTGCTGTTTTATAAATGGTAATCATTATCTAGTCACTGAATTAGTAACAACGTAGAGATCCCTCAGGGCCATAAGCAAGAACAAACCTCCATTGTTTCGCCTTTGGTTACTTTTTTCCTCCAGGGAGGAAAAAGCACATACTGTCCTATCATGTAGCTTTTTCGCCTATGTCTGGTGTCCTCCTTCCAAACTAAGATAGCAAGACATGCCTAGGATTCTCAGAGAACTGTGCATAGCAGAATAGCTCTTTATAGAAACATAATTGCACTGTATAATGTTTCGCTTAAATAAAATAAACACAAACCAGTCGGAATGTACTTGTGGGATGTTTAACACTGTGCAGAAGTCCATGTGAACTGTATAACTGAAGGTCAGTGCTGATCTTAATTTTCAAATTTTTATACTTACCGTGCAAGCTTCAATTCTCAGTAATAACATATTATAAACAATAACCGAGCACACCAACAGTGTTGCCTGAGCTCTTTTTAGGGGCCTGTCTTCATGGAGGCATTGAGAGTCTGGAATTTGGGGGTTTGGTGCGCTGCCAAGCTGAACATCAAACCCTAAAACACACACCAAAGCCATCGATACACTGATGACACCCAGCTCTGATTCTCCAAAATAAGAAGCTCCAGGGAGGGTCTAACTTGGTGGCTGAAATCCTGTTCTAGAAGTCATACTGCATAAGGCTGGTGAGGCCATCAGCCATGGCGATTTTTTGGAAATAATACATTTCCAATCTTTCCACCTCACCAGAGATCCTGAGGCTCCCATGGAACTCTTTTTGGGATAGAGGAAGCTTTTAGTTACCAAAAACTGCTCCTGCTGGAATGACTTCACTGGCAGGATTTTAGCCAGTGTGTAATGTTAGCATTGGGATAAGTAAGAACCAACAGATTGATGCTTAATCCAGACAAGACAGAAATGTTCCAAGTAGTTGAAAGACAGGTCAGGGAACAGCAATTCTATATTATACTATCCTGAAGATTCAAGTTACCGTTGAGTGTGCTTCTGGATTCAGTCCTAAACCGGATGCCCAATGGTTGCGAGGAGCGTAGTGCACTGTGCCAGCGAGCCCCAAATGTGCTTGTTCCTGGAGATGTCTATTCTGGAAGAGGATTTGATGTTCCACACATTTGTCTATGTTTGCTCACTTCAAAGATCAGGATGAGGGCTGCAGTTACAAACGGGAGCAGGGGGCATAATGGGAGATACCTGTACCAATGAATCGTAGTAGCCGTATGAAAGAGCAGCAACCTTCTGTCTGGGTAACTGAAAACCTAGGGTTAAAGCAACCAACACTCCTGGTGTGATACATTCTACTGAAGTCAGAAATTCACTGCATTTCTCTCTGGAAGGGGCCAATCCATTCCAGTGCCCATCTCGTTTGGCTTTGTTTAGGTTTTTGGTTTTTGTTTTGGTATGTGCTTTTTATGAACAACCTTACTGAGGAAAATGTAAGTTTTGGTATGGTTAAGCTTTCATAATACATTCATTGCTTTTTTACCTAATTGTTTTGATCTGTTTTTCTAGGCAAACAACATTGACTCAGAAGCAGTTAGAGGTGAAGTGTTGAAAGTTGGAAACAAGAGCTGTGAGAATATCACCTTGAAGTTGCAGTTGGTTTCTTGTACTGTTCCTAAAGAGCTGCTAAAAACCAACGGAGAACTAAGTATAGTGGTAGGATAACCAAGTATTACCTATTGAAATGTTATCTCTCTCCTAATAGTACCTGGGCAATTAATTTAGTCTGTTTTTCTAGGGAATAATATCGACTAAGAAGCCAAACACATTGTTTGAGTCCTTTTAAAAATGCATCCAGGCACTATGTTTCATCCTGGCTCCCGAGCATATATTTAGCTTGAGGTAGTAATTCCAGGTAATATTATTACGGAGTGGTAATCCAAGTCCTTTTTCTGTATTATATGGCCTAAAGCATGAACAAAGCCCTTCTGCGATCCCTCCTGCCACTAAATTTGTTAGTACAGTAGAACCCCCTTAGCCATGGGATCAGTATCCACTGATTCACTTATCCAACTCTGAAAATATTAAAAATATTAAAAGAAAAAGATCTGGAAAAAATTATTTTCCCATGTATTACCAGAACCGGCCAATAAAGGGAGCCAGAGACCATGCCATGAGTACTTGTTAGTGAAGAATACATAGCATGGTCTCTCACACTTTCTAGTCATCAGTTCTGGTAAGGCACCTGAAAATAATTTATTTCTAGATTTTTTTTTCTTTTACCATGCTCTCTCTTTTTTTTTAGGTAGGTAGGTACGTAGATAGAGAGAGAAAGAAAGAGAGAGAGAGAGAGTTTTTTTTTTCTTTTATCATGCTCTCTCTTTTTTTTTAGGTACATAGGTACGGAGAGAGAGAGAGAGAGAGAGAGAGAGTCCTCATGAATTTTTTTGTACTGTATTCAGTGCTCCACTGCAGCATTAGATGTGAGGGAATCCAGGTTTTAACTGGAGCAGTGGGGCTAAAGGGAGAGATGTTCTAGCACCACTGTCTACCCCATGTTGTCTTCCTGAACATTCCTTTTCTATTCTCAGCTGGTTTGAACCTCATTCAGGGAAAATACAGGCACCCATATTCATGAAGCATCCTTTGGAAAAAAATCTGCAGTTTTAAATACCACAACATACTGTTGTTGTCTAGTGCCATCTTATATCATATTACAAAAAACACAACATTTTCTGGAAAACTTCAGAGTGTATGTTTTTGCTACATCACAGAGTTACAGTACATTAAAGCATTTCATTAAAGCCTAGCTCCATTTCTCAGTACGTGAAAATGTTGGTACCAATATACATGTTACTATGGATCCATAAGAGGCCTCATAACACAGGAATTATATATTTAACAAAAGTCATTCTTTTAATAATGTAGTTGTCAATTTGCAAATCCATCAATGGTGTAATTTTCAGCCTCCTTTCCCCAAGTTACAACCATGTGCTCTTCATATATAAGATTATGACCTAACTACAGTAGGACCACCACCCCATCCATGGGATCAGTATCTGCTGATTCATTTATCCGCTGCCTGAAAATACTAAATACAAAACTTCAGAAAGACATACTTTTATGTATTTCCAGTGTGTATTTACCAGAACTGGCCAGTAGAGGGAAACCGAGATCATGCAATGTATAGCATTCACTACTTCCACGTTTTTCGATATCTGCGGGGGTGGGAACTTGGAGCTGATCCCCTGCGGATTCTGCACTCCTATTGTATTATATTCCACATATCTGAGGAAGTGGGTTGTAATCTACAAAAGCTCACAATAAAATAAATCTTTTAAAACAAAGGTCTGCAATATTTTTAGTTTTATTTCATTTTATATATAGGATTATTAATAGTTTTAATAAAGCAGAAGTGCAGTTTCTATACAAAAGAGGCAAACATTCTTCACAACTTCACACACACACACACTTATATTCTGCTTATCTGCATATTTCTATGTGCCCAGTAATAAAGAGCATACATACTGTATCTGAAGGAACAGTCTATTCTTACAAAAATGTTGCAAAATGTTCCAAAGAAGGCAGAAGATTACTTAGTGCATTTCCACCAACTGAGATACAATTATGACACATTGGCTTCTCTTGTTTCTTAGTGTATTTCCTTATTATGTTCCTATTTAAATTTATCAGCAACAAAATTGGCAGACACAAACACAGGGCTCCAGAAACGCAAGAATATCTTTGCAAAGATGCAAGGTACTAGATCTCATTATGCACACTCTTGGGATTAACTGTTCTGTTAAGAAGAAAATGCTGAAGGAACATCAGCCAGCTGGGTGATTATTTACATAGCCAGAGTAAAATATTAGTGCAGATAGATGAACCAGTGGTACAAGATGTCCCTCTAAACTAGGATTTCTGGTGTATGATATTTACTATGGTCTCTTAATGAGTATTTGTAGTCCCTTAACACTTCTTAAAAGATGTGGAAAAATATGATTCTCCCTGGCTATTTTATTCCAAAATATTTAAACCATAGACATCCTGTGGGGAGTTTGTAATTGTAAAAGTTCTTCAGGTTGATTAATCAGGCATGAAATAAATAGTCATTAAATTTTTTAAGGAAGTGAAACATTTAGTGCAGGTGTGGGTAACATCCGTAGGTACAGGAACCAAATCCTCCTCTCCAAACCCAACACATTTCAGGTGCCACCTTGAAATTTGCTTCCACAGGGACAACAGTCAGCCTGCCTCTAAGGTTCTACTTTTAAAGCAAGACACATAGTGCAAGTTGCATTGTCAGAAGGAAGTGTTATCATTTATTGCAGAGTACTTGATGTATTATGAGTGTCCCTCAAATTAATGAAAGAAGCAAACCACCCACCTACTTGTGCATGTGTGCATGCCCTGGTAAACTTAGGAGATTATTATCCTTATTTCTTTCAGTGGCAAAAAGAAGTTTCATCAACAGTTATTGGGAGAGTAATGATTCAACCTGATCAGAATTTCACAGGACTCATCGCAGGAGTTGTGTTAATGTTTCTTCTTCTGTCGTTGTCACTGTTTGGACTGTTCTTGTGGAGAAAAAAGAGAAAGCAAAACAAAGGTAGTGGTGAATGTTCTTTATACTACACTTTCTATACGTAGAAAAAGTTTCCTGTTCCTTGAAATTTGCACAGGGAGAGAAATCTGAAGAGAAAGTGATGAATGTATACACATCTGGATGTGTTTACTTAGATTTTCTTTCAACTGGAAATGAAGATTAGGAAGTTAAGGAATCACATACTGCAGAAGATATATCCTGAGGAGTGATTGGAAGTGAGGCTATAGAACATTGGCATTATCGCCAGGTTTTTAGGGAGCCATGAGGGGAGCAATGGGCATTTGGTAAAAAGTAGGCATTCTTCAAAGTTCACCTCAATGAAGAGCTGGAACATCATAGATGTCATATGATGTTCCTCTCTTGTGTTTGTTCCCAAACTTGGGAATGTTGTGCCATTAAGTTGGAACTGACTTACAGTGATCCTAACGGGGTTTCAAGGTAGGTGAGGCATTTAAGGGGTGGTTTTACCAGTTCCACTCCCCCAATTAGTTTCTTGGCTGAGTGGAGATTTGAACCCAGGCCTCCTGAGTCCTAGTCTGTCACTCTATCTACACTCTCTCTGTGTGTTAGTATATATTCATATCTATGAATATATATTAGTTTCATTCCCGCAGAACAGTAGCTGCCTACACAGATTTAGCACTACCTTAAACAATAGAAGCATACATTTATACTGATCAGTTGTAAAACTCTCTCTTCTGTTCTGGCTCTTGAAACAAGAGAAGAATACATCTTTTTCCATGCATAACCCTAATTTTTGTACTCATGCTCTCTTCCTTGTAAAGATTTAGGCAGAGAGATGGTTCACTATGATGGAAGGGTACACACGCCTCACTTGGATAGGCTTGTCAGTGCAAGGAGTGTGAGTCCTACAACAGAAATGGTGTCAAGTGAGTCTGTCGACTACAGATCAACTTTTCTAGAAGGTATTTTACTTCTGATTAGTAAATACTAATGGCCGTATTTGAGACATCCAATTTGTAACTTGTCACTTTTCTCCTAGAATGTAAAATAGATCCCAGCCTGATAAAAGTTGTGAAGAACGTTTGCCTCTTTTGTATAGATACTGCACTACTGCTTTATTAAAACTAGTAATAATCCTCCCTGTAGCTTCTTAAAATAGTTACACATTATACGCTATTATAACACTAGCAATGCTATCCAAGGCGTTTCACTAATATGATGATGACCCCTCTTCTAGGCCCCTGTTTTGACTTAGTTGCAAAGTTCTGGTGGTTCCAATTCAAAGCATCTGTTACAATTGCCATGGGAAGGCTGCCAAAAAGTGGCATTCTTTTGCATCCCCCCCATTGTCCAGCTGTAATATTTTAGAATTAGTTTTCTAGCAGATTTCAATCCACACACAGGCCAGCTCTATGCCCTTTCACCCAGTTCATGTTTCCAATGGCTAAATACTAGAACACTGAGTCTCCAACACATGATGTTATGGACTTGAGCAGTTGCGTGGCACCATGGGAGAGGGGTTGTTTGCTTGGAGGTGATCACTGGCATTTCTGTGGTGACCATGACCTGTAGTCTTCCTCTCTGTTTCCTCCTTCCTGCTCTTTCTATTCTGTTCTATCTGCTTTCTTATTATTGCTTTAGTACCACTGCCATATCGTGCTGTCCCTTACTTTTAGCTGTGTTCCTCTGTGTGCTTTAAACAGCTTCCCCTTCTTAAGACTTGCCCCCTCTTTTCAGGCTCACACATCTTGCTGGCCTGTTCCTTTGATTAAGCCAGGCACAAGGAACCTTTGGTCCTCCAGGTGTTTTGGACGTCAGTTCCCGGACTCCCAAGTCAGTAAGGACTTGTGGGAATTGTAGTCTGAAATACCTGGAGGCCAAGGCTTTCTCCTACATATTAGCTAGGGATGTGCCATTTGAATTTTTTTGCACTTCAGCTCCCAGAATTCCCCATACATTTCCCAGGCGGAATTCTGGGGTTTCCAGCCTTTTTCTGAGGATGCATGGTCTACATCCAGCCTACTTTCTGTTGGAAGTGTAGAAAAATAGAAGTGCTGCAGTACTTTCTGTGTGTTGTAGTTCTTCAGGAGGCACTCTCTGCAGAGCCTAAAGGGCAGTGAGGGTACGACTCCTAGGGAGCGTTGTGACAGCTTTCATTTTTGTCCAGGACATGAGCTGGACCTTGGCCATTCCGCATACCAGATGAGGCTCTGATTGAGGTGAGTGAAATGTAGGTATCTGAAGGTGTCTTGTGAGCTGGAACTACCAGAATTCCTGGAGAATTCTTAAAGTTCATGTCCAAAAAATCAGAACGGCACATCCCTAATGTTAGCCTTACTTTTTTCTGTCTGACTGTTTGCGTCTATGTGCCTACTAATTCTTGAACTCATACAGGGAAGAATGAAGGTTTATCCGTCCTTTAGGTTGCTTTTGTATGTATCCAGGCATTAAAAAAAAAACACCAATGTGTATTTATTACAGTTACACAATAACTACCTCTAGGTGCTATCATACACACCACATGATATATGAAGATCTTGTCAAAAGTCAGCTATGCTTATCAGCTAAAATGTATCTGCCATGAATGAAGACTCTGCCAGAGGTTTGACAATAAAAATGTGTTCTTGACAGAACGTCTGCATCATTGCTTCTGATTATGTACCTATTTAGATGCGCCACAACTACTAATAAAGGATCTTAGCACTCTTCCTGTGGCAGATCTAACCCATACCCTTCTTAAACAGTAAAAAGGCTTGATGAGTCAGAGATCATGACTTTAATTTGAACTTAAGCCCTATATAATCCCATACAGTACTTTTTGATTTCCTGTCATAAATTTTGCTGAACGAAGTTGCTGTATTTATTCCATGTAAGCAATGTTCTATACCTGTCCAAAAAGTTCTGGAATAATTGCTGTAGAGGAGCTGTCTTAGGCTAGTTTACTTATCTTACTTATCTGACAGCAGAGCCCATTGGGCTTTAATGTCCAATTTAAGATACATAAGATTCGACACCCTTCACACCCACAGTCTGGTTCCGATACGTGGGTGACACCTTCGCAGTTTGGAACCACGGTGAAGAAAAATTGAAAGAATTTCTAAACCATCTCAACAGCATCCATCCAAATATACAATTCACCATGGAAAAATATTAGTGATGAGATGATGGGGTCACAGGAGCTGATGGAGCCCTCCAAATTTCAGGGGTTGTCATGTGGTGCTCCCAGATCTCCAGAGGCTGCCCATACCTATTCTAAAAACTTAGGAGAAAATATTTAATCTGTTAAAGTTAACTGTTGTGTAATGTCAGGAAATGAATCACTCAAGTTGTTTTCCTAGTTGAATATTTACCATTAAATAAATATAGTCATGGACACTTGGAGAGTATTCATCAGCTTCCAGTTGCCCACCTATTATATTCTGACAAGAGCCATAGTCTCTGCTATTTCCTCCTTTACATTAATGTGCCATTTCCTACTTTTTTACCCCTTTAAGGACAACATAAGTACAGATAACTGGAGATTTTAAAAATAGCATTGTTTGAGAAAGAACAACTCCTGGGCTTCTGCCATTCACTTCTTCCCCAGTAAAAACATTAGGGTGGTGAAACCTTGGTGATCCTTGGCAAGATAACAATAGCTCTGCAAGTGGGTGGGATGCTGTTTAGCATGTAAAAACACAAAATACAAGAATTCAATACAATAAAATAAAAGAGATAGTCTCTGAGCAAGTAAAGCAGGAAGTATATACTGTAATTGTTTGATTCAATAGAGAAGTGTTATTTTCCTTCCTTCCTTCCTTCCTTCTTTCCTTCCTTCCTTGCAAGCCATATCCTATGACCTGGAAAGAGTTCCTGCTAATCTTTTATTATTAGATACAGCATCTAGATTATGAAATTGGGAGAAAGGTGAGGCATTAAACAAATGAACAAACTCCTCTCTAGGAAAGCACAGTTGGATCCCTCTCATTTAAGCTTCAGGCACATTGTTAAGATATTTTTATTTCATGAATGGAACTGCTTTCAATCCTGTTTTTGTCTTAGCCATAAAAAATATTTTGGTGTGTTTTAGTTATTTTTTAAAAAAATTAGTTGAAAATTAAAATGGAGTAAAAATTTAAGAATAAGGAAATGTAAACCCTTCTGTGATAGAGGACATTGACCTTAATGTTCCAATTTCTCTTGTAGACCAGTTTCCAACGTTATCTCAGAATGGATCATGCAGACCAGCTCAATATCCTCACTCGGATTTATCTCCCATCCTCTCTACGGGGGACTCTGATTTAGCCAGTCCGTTGCTACAGACTAATGTCCATATTGACATCAGTGCCTTAAATCCTGACTTGGTCAAAGAAGTTGAGCATGTGGTTATTGGTGCTGATAGCCTTATAGTGCATTTTAGTGAAATAATAGGAAGAGGTATGTTTTTAATTAGTTCTCTTAGCAAGTGCTTTTTTGCAGACATGTACCCTGCAACTTAAGCAGTTACCGAGACTAGTGTTGATGAAACATAATTCAGTGTATAGTCTGTGCCCAACTTCATGCAAGCTGCTACTTCCTAGTATGACAGAACTCTTACTCATCCCTACCCACAGCTTTCCATCTGAAAACAGACCTTGCAGGGTTTCTCAGGCTCCTGTATGAAATCAAGGTGAAAGGATATAGGAGGGAAGCCACCAGGTTAGGGGACTGGCCCCTGCTGATTCCAGTGATGAAAGCAGTACTGTGGGTGTATCAGCTGATACTTGTCCAGTGTAAACTGTAGATTTCGAACTTTGAGGGATTACATCTTTTTAAAATCATGCAGAGAGTCAAAGAAAAGCAAAGTGTGCTGCTTATGTACTGCCCCATAGTGCTTAAAACACTCTTTGGCTGGCTTACAACATAATTATGCAGGCGAAACATTTGCTCCCCCACTCTCAGCATGGTGGATACTCAATTTACTGACCTTGAAAGGATGGAAGGTTGATAATGGAAGCACCATGTCTGAATTTGTCCATTCCCCCTTTAAAGCTATATACACCAATGTCCATTGGGACTGGCACTGCTGTGCCACTGAATTCTCTAATTTAATTATACTCTATGCAGAAGAAAATGGCAGTGTAGTTTTTTTTTTCTGGGAAGTAATGACGCTAACGTGTACTCCGAATGACTAATCACTGGTCATGATTAGAGATGGTTCATGCTGAGAGTCATTTTCTCGCCAAACGGGTTCAGCGCTTTGGCAGCCCCATCTCCTCTGGCAGACACCCATTCAGAGGCAGCACTCACAGGAGGCAGGGCAGGGAAGCTGGGGTGCTGCCTCAGTGGGCACCTGCTAGAGGAGGAGGGGCTGCAAAGAGCCAAACACCTGCGAAACGCCCATCTCTAGTCATGGACTTATAAAGCCCTTTGCTATTTAGGAGCACAGTACATTTCAGAACGTCTCTCCCACAAAACAGTATCCCACGCACTTCTTGCAGTCCTTTAAGTTAAAACTTGTGACACCCGAGAAGGCAAAAAGAGCGAACACCAGGAGCCTTGCTTTCTCGGCCATAGCCCCTTCCCTCTGGTACAGGCTTCCCATAGGTGTTTGTCAGGTGACATACCTCTCAGTTTTTAAGAAATGAATAAAAAGAGAATAGTAGAAAACTACCTTTTATTAGTGTCTTTTACTGACTTGAGATGTCCAAATTTGTTTTAAATGTATTTAATTCCGTTTAAATGCAGGTTTTAAAACTAATGACAGTATTTTACTGTATTTATAGTATATTTTAATTTTATATTGTTGATTTTAATTGTGATTTAACATCTTGTGAACTGCCCAGAGTGTGTTTGCACTAATGGGGTGGGCAGTCACAAGATGTTAAATCACAATTAAAATCAACAATATATATAGTAATTTCTTCAATCCACCATTTAATGATAGATTGCAATTTTTTAAAATATTCTAGAATAGAATTCACAGTGATGTTGTGAAAACCATTAATAATCTGCGATAGAAAATAACTGGAGACTAATCTTGCTTATTTTCTCTGCAGGACACTTTGGATGTGTCTATCATGGGACTTTGTTGGATACTGATGGCAGGAAAATACATTGTGCTGTGAAGTCCTTGAATAGTGAGTCATATTGGGTTTATTTTTCTTTTGGCAGTGAACCATCATAATCATATACTGCACAATAATCTAGAAGTGCATTTCTTTTTGTAGCTTGCTGAAAGCTAATTCAAGGATTTATTTGTCTCACCATCTCCATGTGTAGGAATGTTCATATTCTCGTTCTCCCACTGATAAAAACAAATTAAAAGAAAAAACAGAATGCAGTAGTATCATTTTAAAGGTAAAGGTTCCCCTTGACAAATTGTCCAGTTATGTCCAACTGGTCAGAAAATAGCCAGAGCAAATTGTCATACACTAATAATGACCTTGCACTTGGGACATTTTCATTTGTTGATACTAGTGTGTGGGGAAAAAAGGAACAGAGCGCAGTTAGACAAATAAGGAAAATCTGAAACTGCAAGAGTATAAATTTATGTTTTGAATGTGCTAAGTACATTTTGGCAATAGCAAATGTATTTGCATATACAGCTGACATTTCTCTTTCATGGTCTCTGTGAATGCACACTAATGGGTTAATCTGTGCCTGAGCAGAGCAGGTTCAGAACCTTCTAGAGCTTTAAGCACATGGTGCTGGGACCTCCCACCTAGGCTGTATCACCTCCCCCAGGGCCATGTGCTTAAAGCTCTAGAAGGTTCTGAACCTGCTCTGTTCAGGCGCAGATTAACCCACTAGTGTGAATTCACAGATGAGCACTCAAAGAACCAGAGTTACAGGTAAGTAACTTCTTTCCCCCCTTCAATTGGCTATAGACAGTGTACACCTAGATTTCAGGGTGCTCCCAGATGGTGGGCTCTTAGTGCTACCAGCCAAGATACAGTATTTAACCATTTCACCTTCCCCACTCCCCACTCTCAAAACAAATATTCTGTGGCAGGGGGAAAAGAAGAACATGGAAGAAACAGGGAGGGGTATCATAGAAGAGTTACAAGCTGAAGGCAGGATCTTCATCCTCATCAAATGTTGTGTGCCATAAATGGAGGCATGGCAAATCTACCAAAAAAATGCCTCCTCCAGAATAATTCTCAGTAACTTCGCTTCTATAACATGGATGTGCTCTTGAGAAGCAATCTTTATCTAGATTCAATGTCTTAATAAAACAGTTTTATATTCTGGTTGGAGGGAAGTTGTAAGGTTCACATGTGACATTATGGATCAGATGTATGAGATATGACATCTCTGGTGCTGATGGTTTCATTTGGTTTTGCTATTACATTCTTTAGGGATTACAGACTTGGACGAAGTAGCCCAGTTCCTAAAAGAAGGAATCATAATGAAGGACTTCACTCATCCCAATGTCTTGTCACTACTTGGAATTTGCTTGCCCACTGAAGGGTCCCCCTTGGTGGTGCTTCCTTACATGAAACATGGAGATCTTCGAAACTTCATTAGGAATGAGTCTCATGTATGTCTTTTTCTGGAGCTGGTTCACTGGTAGTGCAGACCCATGTCACTATAGCTGTGATCTGCTCAGTGTAAAAGCATTAGCTAATGGATTACGCATCCCTTTTACATGTGGTTAATATTTTTCTTAATTTTGAGTATAGTTTTTCTTTGAAATATATATAGGTTTGCTGTTAGGAACACTAGAGAGATCAAGACCTAGGAAAAGTAAGCAAAAATACAATTTTCCTTTTTTCCCCTGGTATTCTTTCTGGGCCTTTGCTAAGGAGCAGCCTAGGAGTGTTGAGACAGCTACAATTACTTTGCACCAATTTCATCATCTATTAAAATGTGTTATTCATAGCATACTTTGTTATGATTTCTTGATACAAATATATTAATAGGCTTAATCTTTGTCATGTGTTGCCTGACCCTCCTTTTCCTCCAACCTACACAAAACTCCATTTTTAGAAAACTGTTAGACATAGAGCCTATCAGCATTAGGGTAGGAATTAAAGGTTCATTTCAGAAAGTGTATTTTGCCAGTGAAATTTATTCTCCTATACTGTGTTGTTTTAATTAAACCACTGCCCATATATTACAGAATCCAACAGTAAAGGATTTGATTGGATTTGGCCTGCAAGTGGCAAAGGGGATGAAATACTTGGCGAGCAAAAAGTTTGTCCATAGAGATTTAGCGGCAAGAAATTGTATGTAAGTACGGCAATAGAATAATATTGGGATAAGGAAGCCCTTAAAGCATCCTTGCAAAGCTTTATTTGATATGTTGCTCCTGTACCCCAACCTTCCACTATAATATAATGGTGTCCCTATCCTGTAACAGTAATTGTTATGCCTAGAACTGCTGAGCTTCATATAGTTATCACTGGTACAGTGCTATCAAATGTGGATTTTGTCTGCAAGAAGTCAAATTTAGGATTTCTTTCAGGAAAGTGTGTCTTCTCTTGCATTGTCAAGGTTCTATCCTATGTAAAATGCTTATGTTGAAATATTCCCACATGAGTTTTCTTTTGGCTGCTTGAGCAGAATGCCCAAAGCTTCTGTTTGATAGGCACTCTTTCCATGTTTGTTGTAACATTATTTGTTATATTATTCCACCTTCCCTACATTTCATTGGGTTTTGAAAACCTAACAGTTCCTATTATTTATTCCACTGCGTAATGCAGAAGTGGGAAACGTCTGGCCTAAGGATAGTGGTTAAAGTTGATGCAAGTAGGGGCCAGATAGAATCTGGGGGATGGTTTTCTTTTTCTTCCTGTAATGTAGCAAATCACCTTTAAAGAAAAATGTTTTCTTGCATATAAGATTGTGAACTATTGCCTTGGAGGCAATTACAGAGGAATTAACGGATTAAATCTCTGATGACTTGCTGTTATGATGAAAGTGGGCTTCCGGATTTTAGGCCAAGATTGTTACTTTTGTATGGTTATTTTGTCTAGTTGTCTGTTTAATTTGTTTTGACTCTGTATTTTTATGATGTTGTCTCTTCAAAATATGGTTATTCTATGCTGTTTTAGTTTTTCAAATCTTTTTGTTACACAAGCTAATTTTTAAAAACATTTAATCAGCCTATACATATGTGTGTGAAATAAATAAGTATCTGCCATTGACTGCCATACGTTGCTTTCAACCTGCCATTTTAGAAAAGTATTATCAGTTTTCCGTTGGGTTTCATTATGCTTGTTGTTTTAAAAGCTAGATTTCTTTGCTGCGTTGCCAAACTGAAATGAATGTAGTCAAATTATTTGAAGGGGAAAATGGCCACAAAAGATCTGGTTTGAACGTAGGACTTTCTGTACATGGTTCTGCCTTAGTTATTTTCTGACCTCTGCTATAAAAGAATTTGCATCCTAAACAAACATTATGCAAAGCATCTTATTAATGTCTGGGTGACCAGACAGTTTAGTGCACAAAATGACTGATCGGAACCATTGTTGCCCACATCATTATGCTGATTCATCACCTCCATTATGAATTAATGAGCTTAACAGCATTAATTAATGTAGTTTTCTAGACGTGATTATCAAGTTCCATTAGCATTAAAAGGCATCTTATTTCTTTGAAAACAAGGGTACAGTTTTCTTTAAAGCGTTCATAAGTATGTCACTGAAGCAGCTTCCTATTAGTTATCCCAGATGCAGATAATTTATCCTATAGTTTTCCTCCTCTTAGTCATGTATGTAAGGCATTGATTGTGAAGAAGATTCAAGCCATCTTCCTTCCTTCCATCCTTCCTTCCTTCCTTCCTTCCTTCCTTCCTTCCTTCCTTCCTTCCTTCCTTCATTCATTCATTCATTCATTCATTCATCCATTCCACTTTTATGCCATCCAGTTAGTGCAAGGTTTCACACTTGAATCCAGTTTATTATTTGTTAAAATATGTGTTACGGGCGGCCTTCAAAATTATTGTATGGAAAACACTATAAGCAATGTAAATTCTGTCTTCTGAACTCCAGATAATGATTTCTGTCCTTTTTCTAGGCTGGATGAAAAATTCACGGTCAAAGTTGCCGATTTTGGCCTCGCTAGAGATGTCTACGATAAGGAATACTACAGTGTACACAATAAAACAGGAGCCAAACTGCCAGTGAAATGGATGGCTTTGGAAAGTTTGCAGACTCAGAAGTTCACTACAAAGTCAGATGTGGTAATGTGCCTATGATTATTTTTGTAACTTTTGCTGACTCCACATTTCAAAGCCTTCCTGGAAATATTAAAAGAAAAGAATGATAGGGTAGATTAATGCAAAGACCTTGTAATCCTAAAATAAAACCAAGCATCAGCAATTTTAGCTCACAATATAAATGTTAACTGGCTTACTCCTATTGTCCTTTGGCATCCACATTCCCACAGAAATTTAGAGAAGACAGAAAAGCAAACTAACATTCAGAACAAATCAGTCATCTTCAACTATCAACAAGATGATCTAGAAGGAGCCTGGTGATTACATGTCAAAACTGTTGGCACATTTCTCGAAAAGGTGCATTTTCTCCTGGCGAAAGCGTGTCATTTTCCTTGCCTTCATTAGTGTGCTGTTTTATGATTGGCCATTGGTATTTAAATACAGTGTTAATTTGCAAATTTGATTACTGAGGCACATGTCTCTGAGGAAATCCCACTCTGGAAGTGAAAACATTAATCAGAAGAAATATGCATTCACCTTAAAATATAGTTTGATCTTTACTATCAGTTAATCACTTGGAGGCTTGGTCAATATAATCTAGCCAGCTCTGTTTGTCCCTTAAGGCTGGAAACTACAATTTAAGCAGCTTGTGTTATGGTAATACAGTGGTGCCTCGCTTAACGAGCGCACCGTATAACAATTAAATCGCATAGCGATCCGTTTTTTCGGATCGCTAATGCGATCGCACAACGTTGTTCCCATAGGGAAAAATTCGCTTTGCGAAGACCGGTAAGCGTTTCGCTTACTGATCTTCGCAAAACGACCCCCGCCGATCAGCTGTTCGGCGGCCAAAATGGCCGCCGGAAGCCGGGAAATGGCCTAAAATGGCCGTGCGCAGCGTTTTCGCGCCCTCGTTAAGCGAGGCGAGGGCGCGAAAATGGCTGCCAGCCATCCTGAAGCTTCGCTGAACGGTGAGTATTTGGCCTATTTGGAACTATTTGGAACAATGTAAATCGCTGCCCCGTTCAGCGATGCTTCAGCATAGCGAAGGTTAATCCGGAACGGATTAACCTCGCTATGCGAGGCACCACTGTATATATGCATGTGTTTCTCCTACGCAGCTTTCTTTCATCCATTTTTGCTAAGTATATTTTGGATTTTGACTGTCCAGAATCTTGCATCTTGAAATATTATTCTGTTCTAGGCCGATTCCCTTACAATAGATATCATTCATATCTTAAGCTGGCCTGAATGTTTTTTTGTCTTAAACAACACATTTATTGGCTGTCTTTTCTGCCATTTGCTGCCCGACACCTTAGACCATATTCTATTTAGATGCCCAGCACACTATTCTCTTCAGAAAGTCTTTTTAGACCACTGGCTGATCCCCTTTTCAGATTACAGTACTTTCCTTATCTTCTCCCTGTCTTCTTGAGTGAACGCTGTGCTCCCCTCACTGAGGCGGTGGCAAACTATTTAACTGAAATTTTGGTCCTAACTGATGCCTTATAATGTTGAACTCCTCTTTGCCCCATTTTCCGGGTAATATAGTATTGTTTTTCATGATTTTGAGCTTCCCCATTGGTGTTGATTGTGTCTCTTCCTCCTGAGTATTTGTATAATACCAATAAAAGTATATCGTATTGGCTGTGTGAGGCTGTGATTGGTTCCACCCCTAAGCAAAATAGAATCTCTTTGCAAATAGGATTTTCCCATCAAAAATAGTATCTGGTTCCCAAAGAGATTCAGATTTGTATATGTAGTTGAGTTGAACTAGATGGAAGAGGGTCCATTTTTTGCTTCTCTTTTCTGCTTCATTTTGTTTGGGAGAATATATACCAAACCATAATAAAATTTCGCTTTTGGCAACCTGGATATTGCACTGGAAAAAGGACTATATTTTCTAGAATTCTACAAATTCATGTAGCCTTTACACCTTCTTTTATTTTACTTACTTACTTACTTACTTACTTGCTTACTTTATTTATTTATTTATTTATTTATTTATTTATTTATTTATTTATTTATTTATTTATTTATTTATTTATTTATTTATTTATTA